CTTTCGAGTGATATTCTGCGCAGGCTTGAGGGATTTTTGTTTTTTTCTTAAAATTTCGGAATAAAATATGCCAACAGCAGAAAAAAATTAAAATTATTTGTTCAGGTGGTAACAAAATTACAAACATTTTTAATTTAATAATGAAAAACCGATATTAATTTGGAAACTTTAGCGTCCTGTAGCGGCAAATTGACGCAAAATTGGAGATAGGAAAGTGTGCTTAGATCGTCTTTTTCAGTTAAGGAATTGGTGGTTAAGCGTCGTACAGTCGTTTCAATGACACTCTGAATAATTGTTATTTTACAGGCATGCATTTTTCCCAAGCCGTTGCCATTATCCAAGCCCAAATAGGCACCATTAAGGGTGTGCAAGTGCTCTACAATGACGCGGTGAGTAATGAAAATAATCACCCAATTAGTTTAACGGACGTTCATTTTCAGAAGCCACTGGAAATTGACTTGGTCATCAATCTGCCCCAGGACGGCATCAGACTGTTCTTCGACCCGATATCCCAAAGATTGAAAATTATCCTCATTTACAACATGAAGTTAATCAAGCTCAAGTACTGGTAAGACAGCCGCAGTAGTTGGAAGAATTAAAAAATATAATCGAAAAACTACTTGTTTGTGTCTAGTGGACTGGCCTTTAACTCACCTGAACTGCTGCCTTCAATCGAGCAAATAGAGCACTCCTTTGGCGCAACTCATCCGGGCGAGTACGACTCGGAAAAGCAGGTTTTCACATTGAATTTCCGCGGACTGAGCTTTTACTTCCCAGTGGAGTCCAAGTTCCAAAAGGGCAGCACTCACAACTTGGCGTCGCTCCAGTTCCCGCCAGGCAGCAGCCCTGTAAGTCGCTCAGTTGGCCAGAAAAATATTCCAACGTCCTTACTGAGTACATTGTAAAGGTGGTGTCTCGCATGGCCATCTATTCGGGCTCCAGTGTGGATAGCGCTCCGGCCCCCGATTTGCCCCTGTCCTGCTATCAGGGACAGCTCTACATGAAGAGGGCGGAGATTCTGAGAGGCGACGGCTACACCAAAGGCATCAAGCTGGACTTGCTGGCTGGTAAGTGCCCAGTGCGTCTATTCTTGACGGCTAGGGGGTTGAACGCCCGAGAGAAGTGGGCGGGCTTTTATGGCAGTCGGCCGAAACGGTGCTCGTGAAAAAAGTTGATAGAGGGAGTTGCTCCGGGGCAAACGGGAACTTAAGCTGGATTTATAGTCGCCGTAACGTAAAACGTAAGAAAATAAACCAATGAATAGCCGTGTGTGCATTCAAGTAGCCGTATCGAAACGCAAGACCCAAGCCGAAATGGTTCAATTCCATTTCTTGCGTTACGTCTTACGTAAAGCGTTGCCATTCCGCTACTTTTGAAGCTTCCAGCTGGCGAATCTTGCACTGCAAACTTGGCAACATTAAATGCATTGTTCGGCTTGGCTTTGATTTCTGCAGATAACGGCGATTTCAGTCTTTACATATGGTTAGATAATAATTTAATATAGCATAATAACACACAACAATAATTTAACGTATAACAATAAATACAACGCAACCATAATTTCGTTGCCTGAATCCATTTCATCAACAAACATTCTTATGGGGGGATTAAATAACCTCTAACACCGAGCAATATAACATAGCTTTACTGTTACCTCTTACGTCAACTATGAATCAGTTTGCCACTTTGCCATTTGAATAGGGGCCACTGCGCTCTGTTCGGTCATCTTCGGTAGACGTGCTAACTTGACTGGGTTCATTTTTGTTTAATAGAAAATAAAATAAAATAATATAATTAGAAAATTTTCATTTTATCGATCGCACTTAAATCGCAAAAAAATTAAATAAAACTGAAAATTTAAATCTCAAACTAAATATCACAAAACGCTGTTAGTAAGTTATAAATACAATTGTAAGATAAAAAACAGTACACTTACTGTGCCCTTGTTCTCTGAGAGAGTCGTTTAGCTCTTTTGAATAATTTTTAAAACGCATTTCTTGAAAGCCCCGCCAGATATCAGCAAACGGATTTTAGGTATCAATAATCAACGCTTTCCGGAACACACTGTGCTAGCTTTCTTACATTCCCATCGTTACTGAATTCAGGATAAATTTTAGAATTTTTACGAATTTAGTCGTTGAGCCACGTGTGCATCTTAACATTTCAAAGTGGATTTTTTCATAGCCCTGTCCGATATCAGCAAACTCGTTCTATATATGCTTAATACTTTCTTCTACTACTACTACTACTACTACTTCTCTACTCTTCTTTAATACACGGTGATAGTTTCATTGTATTACGGTAGTTACTGCCGTCAAAATTAATTTTACAACATTCACAAATTTTCAGTCGTTTGACCATTTCTGCGTCTTAACCTTGAAAAGTGAAATTTTGAGTTTGAAGAATAGTAACCGAAAACTCATCAACAAATAGTGTATGTTTGCTTTACATCCAGTGTCGTACCCGTAGAGCTCGGCACAACTTCTACATCAACAGATTGTTGCTTCGGTCTTTCAAAATCATATACAGGGTGTTTCGTAAGTAGATGCGTTTCCTGCAGGGGGTGATACTGCAAGTAATTTTGGATTACGCTTAGTTTCCGATTTACAGGGTGATAAAGTGAAAATTGTGTTTCTAGTTTTTCCAATGGCGTGTGCACAGGAACGACTAGATAATTTTAAATAAAAAAATGTTACGCCACTGATTTTTTAAGCAATAGACCTGATGATTCAAATTCCTGTTCCAATCCAAATTTGGAAGAGAAAGGGTCTCTTGACTTTTTTTTTCTACGTCTCGTTTTTGAGTAAATAAATTAAAATCGATTTTTTGCATAGCTTAATCCGATTGTAATTAAGTAGGGTTTAGTATAAAAACGAAAATTGTCAACCTAGATTGGATCAATTTTATTACAAAAAAAAACGCAAAAATAAGATATTTAGACACTCGAAATGACAGCAATTATTCGTTTTTTCCAATCAGTGACCATAATTAGTGAGTAGAGCCAACTTTTTAAATAAAAAGCAGATTACGCTGGGCAACAAATCGATTTTAATTTTTTTACTCAAACATCATGCGTTGTAAAAAAGGTCAAGAGACCTTTCCTCTTCCAAATTGAACAAAAACCTGAAAAATAATATTTATTTTTAGAAAAATCAGTGGCGAAACATTTTTTTATTTAAAATTATCTACAGACGTGCCTGTGCCCACGCCACATCACAAAACATGGATTGCTGTGCCTAAGTCAGTCAGTAAGTTAAGTATAAAATTTAATTTAAATATTCTTACAGATTTCCGCAATATTAAAAATATAATTTTTAAATTAAGTATTATAACCTTGTAGATCGGAGACTAAGAGTTTTTGGAATATGGTCTATTAAAGAAATATATCCCAAATTACGTGCACTATCACCGCCTACAAGGAATGTTCTTACTTACCAAACACCCTGTATATACAGGGTGATTCAAAATTGGCGTCATTCCTGTGGAGGTGTTGTCTGGTGGTATTTTGGGAGTACAGAAAAAGATGTTCTTCAAGGTAATCTGCCTAATTAACATTACGGAAATACCTGTTGCTTCGTAAGTATTAAAAACTCCGGCATCCATGGAATTTTTTAAAAATTTGTTTAATATCAGCGCTGATGCACAAGTTTGTGTTTGTGTGTTTCGCAGTTGATAACTTTTGAGGCGTTAGAGTTTTTCTTCAACGAGAAGTCTTTTAGAAGTCCGTCTTCTCGGTTGAAAACCTTCCAATCAGAGCAGCTGAAAGCTTCTATATTTATGCACTTTGTAGAGTCAAACCAAATGGACCAGGAGCTTGAACTTTGATCATAAACGGCTTTTTCAACAAATTGGGCTATTAATTGACTCTTTCAGGAGCTATTGTACAATTTCGATTGAAGCATTTGATTGCGTTAAAACTGGTGATTTTTTCCACTTCTGTTTAGAGAAGTTTAGAATTAACCGCGCTATCAACGTACTGTTGCTTTTCCAGCGCACACGTCCGCCCGCACTCTCCTAATTCTAGCAACTTTAAATCTAACTATTGTGCGAGTTTAGAGCCGACCTTTTAGGGAGCGCTCCCAAAGAGAAGAAATCCATGCGCAAACAGAAACATTTCGACCGTAATCAGGCATTACCACCACCACCCTCTCTTTCCATGGCCCTTTCCGCCGCGCCCCAGTCCTCATCAAAGACCACCAGATCGGCAAACCTCGCAAAGGAGTCCAGGATACCCCGATCTCTCATTCCGGTTTCCCCTCTAAAGTGCCATCGGGAGAGAGACCAAGTTCCCCCCTAGCCGGCAACCTACATTAGCATGGCATGCTGAGCTGTCTTCGTCGGCACCAAGCCCGGACACTCGGTTCGTGCGCAAACGTAAAAAAGAATATCTAAATTATGCAAAATATCCTCCGGTCAGAGAATAACCCAGGGTATTTTGCTTATCGCTTTTACAGCAGTACTGCTAAAATCAGCGATTTAAACAGCAAATGTTCAGGAATATCTCTCCTTTTCCTTAAAATGAAATAGTATTTCCGGCTTTCCAAAAAGGAAATGCAGCAAAATACAAACACTACTAGAATCAGAGAGTTTTTTCTCCATCGATTAACACCACTCGCGACTAAAACCGAACAACTTTCACATCCGAGGAATTGAAAGTCCACGAGCTTAGAAATTTGCAAACTTTCCCGTTGACTGCTAATGCCTGTCTGGTGTGGAAGGTTGGCGAGCCTGTCAGACTGTCAAAATATTCTCGATTTCGATTGGTCACACAATATGGCAACATTGTTTGCAGGGACTGCGTGCTCACTGACATTCCCTGTCACTCAAGAATACAGTTTTTTTCCTGGGCCTTATTTTCATGCGTCTACGTGAGCACTCCGGGGAATTTGTGTATTGCTGACTGCCTAAAATCGGTGTGAAGCAAATTCGATATTCGCAAGCGATATTAACTTATTTGTGTATTCAGTCAGATCTGTGTTTGCCTTGTTTGCGGATGAATATAAGATTCTCACACATGTGAATTGTCACTCGCCTGGTCTAGACCAGGTGAATTTGCTTCTTACCGATTTTAGGCAATCAGCAACACAGAAAATCCCCGGGAGTGCTCACGCACAAAATAAGGCCCCTGCCGGGGACAGTGAGCGAGGAGAGACCTGGGAGGGTCCCGCGGATGCCCCCTTCTCTCAGTCTCAAGAAAAGACACACATATAACTTACTCCGGCTGATTTGCCCTTTATTCCAGGCACAAACAACCGGATTATTGACTCAACTATCCTGCGTATCGAGCGCAAGATTCTCCTAGGCCAGTCGGCGCAGGATATTTCCTCTGCCATCGGCGCCCCTTCAAAAGTCTTCTACAAAAGCGAGGACAAGATGAGAATACACGCCTCCAACGCCCTTAGACGCGTTTCCTCCAATAGGAGCGATTACTTTTTCAATTACTTCACCCTTGGGTTGGTAAGGCAGGCCCTGATTGAGCCGCATGCGGATAGTAAAAATGTGCCTGTTCAAAGGATGTGCTGTTCGATGCGCGAACTCACCTAGCGAAGAAGTTCGTGCTCCACACTAACTACCCTGGCCATTACAATTTCAACATGTACCTGCGATGCGAGTTCGAGTTGCCATTGGATGGGGCCACTGTGGTGGGCGCGTACTCGAACTGGAGCGAAGTGTGCAAGAAGTTGACGCCCAGCGAGCGCCCAGTGGTTCTCAATAGAGCCAGTTCCACCAACACGACGAACCCCTTCGGGAGCACGCTGTGTTATGGGTATCAAGACATTATTTTTGAGGTTGGTGCCGTACAAATAGCGTCAAATTGGTGGTCAGGTTGTGGCTTTCGATTAGGTGATGCCTAATCACTACATCGCCTCACTCAGCATGTATGGGGATGGTAGACCTAGTCAACACCAGCTATCGCAACAGGCGTGACAGAGGCTGTCCGCCACTTACCTCATTCTGGAGAACAGGTAAATTACCTTCATTTGGTTGGTTCAGATTTTTTCCACGATTATTGTGTTGTTCGGGAGCATATTGGGACAATAGTTTGCGCGCGATTTTCCGCTGTGGAAAATTGTTTAAATAATCAAAGAAATGGTAAAGTTTTTTTTGTTTTTTCCAAAAATTAATTTTTATTTTTTTTGTCGTTTATTCCTTTTACATTTTGAGCACAAGACGTTTTTCGTCTTTTTTTCTTTTCAGTCGATTTGAATTTCAAACATGAAACGAAAGCCATTTTTGTCTCAATATGTCCAATTTTCTAACTCAAAATTTTTGACTTTGAACTCGGAAACTTTCGGAAGAAATGAAAATGTATTTTCAATTTGATTCTAATTTAGATTTCCTAATTTAAAATCCACAATTTGCATGCGATAGCGGAAAATGAACAATAATTGAATATAAAACTTCCATTTTATGACCCAGACTTGGACTTCACTCAATTTCGACCCAGAAAAAATGTCAACTTTCTTGTACTTCCAAACTTCAATCTTCCGCTTACTTGAACCTCCAAATTTGTATCCAAATTTGTACTTTTCAATTTCGAGCGCAATAGATTGTTTTTAAACTTTAAAACTTTGGTGCTTCTCTTTTTTAACTTTTTTCAAAAAAATTTTGATTTTGAACTTCAAATGCGTACTGAAAACTCCAATTTTTGGCATTCTGAACTAAACTCTCGGGCTTCGAGGAGTATTTTCTAAAACGAAATTGGACGATTTCGACCCATCAAAAATTTTCAACTTTCTTGTACTTCCAGATTTCGATCTTCCACTTACGTTCACCTCCCAAATTTCTACTTTTAAATTTCGCGCGCTATAAATTGTTTAAAAATCTTGAAATTGTGGTGTTAATAAACGGCTTCTTTTTTTTAAATTCTTTAAAGCTCAATCGTCAAAATTCTTTAAAGCTCGTTTAAAAAAATCGTATAAAGCTCAATAGATGGCGTCAAAACTGTCAAATTTGACATGTGAGACGATTTCTAAGCGCGGATCTAAATGCCTTGATAAATTCGGCTTTAACCCAGTAATTTGGGTGAGAAATTAAAAAAAAATCCCTGTACGTTGCAGGTACTGGCAGCCGAGGAAAGAGCTGGCCTACTAACAGTGAGGCCTCATTCCTCCAATATCCACCAAGCTCTAATCGTTGATTGAATTGCGATTCTTTGTGCCAGCACACTGTTCCACTTCGCTCCGCCAAGTGTTCGGAATGAGCTGCGACTGGGCACCGGGAGTTGGCACTGTCATCAACCCATCAAGCAAGTTATATCGGAAAAACCTCATAAAAAGCATAAAATCATATAAAAGTCATAAAAAATACGCTTAATTATCTATTTTTTGGTTTTTAGCGTTTAAGTGTGCGAGCGCACCTGCTGGAGCAATTGTCTTTCACTAGCGGACCATAAGGGTTTTATTAGTTTGCGTGCACGTTCTTTACATATCACGTGAATGTGTCAATTTTCTGTTTGGGATTTGAAGGTTTTTTTTGTCTATCTTGCAATGTTCCAGAAATTGATTTTCTAGCTTGTAGTTTCGAGGCCTTTGGACAGTTATTCGCCACGAGAAGTGGGCTGAAACTTGCCCAATTGGTCGTTTGATATGCTGTGGATATATACTGAGAAAGTTGAGTCGAATTCTACAGGGCTTTTGAAAATTTTAACACTTTCTAAATGGCTATAGAAAAGGGAAAAAAAATATTTTTCCGGCTTGTACTTTCAAACTGTAGATTCGACTGGAACTTGGCTGATTGTCACTCGATTTGAGTCTGTAGTGAGCAAATTTCCATAGATTTCGACTGCTCGTTTGGAAACTGAATTTTTTTCAAATCGCTTGCAAAAGACAAGAATTCCATTTTCCGGCTTGCAGTTTCAAAGCATCGCAAAATTCATTCCCCGCATAAATTCGACTGGAACTTGGCTGAATTGTCACTCGAGATGTTGAGTCTGTAGTGAGCAAATTTCAATTGATTTCAACTCCTTGTTTGGAAAGTGAATTTTGTGTTCACAAAATATGTAAAGAACGTCGGTTAAATGGAAGTGGGCCAGTGTTTTAACTTGAGTGTTCATTCAGTGCATTCGTCAGAATCACAGTATTCAAAAGACAATAATCAGCTTGTAAATATAGTAGAACGATTGCAGAATCGCCCTCAACAACCCGAAAATCGAATATTTTGGTGTAGACCTGTGATCTTGCGAATGCGTCTTTTTTTCAGCAGCGTGCGACTGGATGTATTATTATTAGCAAAGTGTTTATGTTTCCTGCTGGGGAATCTCGTGTATTTATACCTTCAGGGTCCTATGAAGCTCTAGCAGCGCATCATTGTTAACTTATTGTAAACTTAGGCTAAGACAGGACTCGGATTTGGTTCCAGTAACCAAACTTATAAATAATTAGATATTATATACATATATTGTTTTGTATCGAAAAATGGGAAACGCATGATTGTCTAGAGTAAGTTTAATCATATTTTTCTATATGAACCTCGATAGGCATTTGTCATTACTACATAGGAATAATACAACCAGAAAATTTTGGACGTTGTCCAATTACTGTTACGGAAATCCTTACCTCAATAACAAGCACTTTAGCCAAATAACCTTAGATAATTGTTGAATAACCGCCCCTAAATCCGACTTTCCTGCATCCAAAAACATCTTTTTAAACGTTAGCAGGATTGTTGCTCTTAAATAGGTTTCTTAGCATAGTACTGTGTGGGCATATAGTTTAATATCAAATAGATAAGGCGATTTTTTAGGTTTTTAAATGCGGTGGCTTATTTTCAATATTTTCCTTGTTTCGTTACAAGTCCCATTGCACGTCGTCGAAAACCGTTTTGTTTTTGGAAATCAAACCTCATGTTGGTGATATTTTTGTTAGATCTCATGTAATCATCTAAGTTTGTACATAGTTCGGTCAACATAAGGAAAACAAATCGTTTAATAAAATTTTTCAACTCACTTTCGTCTTGTTTAGTGAACACTTTCAGGCGGCGGGGCCATACAGTTGCCCGTCGGATACCGCTTCTTGAAACTTTCAATCAAATCCTGGTCTAAGAGTCGGATTCCATCCACTTGATTGCCTAAGGTGATCCAGTTTGGTTGGATGTTGTGCGGACGGCCAAACAGCTCAATCTTCCTGGTACCGGGCGATAATCTGCGCAAACATTTTACAACTTTAGACGGGATCCATGTAGCAGATCGGAATTGTTTTTCTAATCTAGATCGGGGTTTCTCAAACTGTCGTCCGTTCAACCTGACCTGGAGGTTGCGATAATTTGGAAATATTTTAGTGTTTTTTTAGCACCCTTCGGAACCGGTGATAAACTGTAGGTCCCGTATAATTGTGGTGGGCCTGGGAAATACTGTGTCTTCAGACACTTATGTGTTGATGCCGCTCTGTGTCGCGATACCTGGCCTCTTACGGCGCGGCACTTTGAACAACACTTAACATTTAATCTCATTCCAAATGGCAGACTCTCGGTTTCTGATCCTCTCCGGCAGGGATTATTTTACGTTATAAAGCCGCACGAGCGAAAGTGCTCAAAATACTTAGCAACTGAATACTGATGAATTCCTATTTATCTCGGTTCGATATGACTCGCATAGGATGTTGGTTCAGGAACCAGTACAACACCTGGGATTTCGATATTTCTACAAAGCAGAAAGGCAAATGCCTGTGTTTTGATTACTACCACATTGCATGAAAAATCAGTCGGCGAAGAAGGCCAAAAAACTAATTAAAGGTTTTGTCAGCCCTTGCATACATAACGGAACAAAAGTCATTCGGTCATAATTTATAGTGACAAATAGGCTTTACAAGAAGAAAACATGTTGCAACATTCATCCCTTTCATTAGAACAACGCAACCGGAGTCTGTCATAGTATCTATTCAGTCAAATCAATGGAACGCGCTGCACCGCTAGCGAACTTACGAACCACTAGACATCACGAATCACAGTGTCTTCTGTTTTTATTGCCCAACATATAAAAATTGTGGCGCGTTGTGTGAACACCTGAAAATCCACTGTGTTACCCAGGACTAAAATGTGGATTGTGTGTTCCGCAAGTAAGCGCGACGTCGCCTACGCTCTCGGAGAGGGTATGGCGCAACAAGAAGAGGAAGAAGAAGAAGATGTACTGCACACGCACTTAAGTGAGTTGAGTGTTAACTTGGGTCTGAAACTACCAAAATGTCCAGAAAGTATGGAAAGTTTCAAAACTGGTCAGTAGCTTCAACCAATCAGCTAAACGCATATTTTACTCAAACAGAGAGACCAGTAAAAAAAACATTCTCACACTTTATGCACTCGATTTTGATATTTCTCACTTGTCAAGAATCATGTCAAATGTCAAATTTGATATTGATTGTTTCAAATAGTTACAAATGGACATTTTCACACCACCGGATGAACCATTAAGAGCTAGTTCCATAAAAATACAGGGTGATTCAAAATTTGCGTCAATTATTAGTTTTATTTTTTTCAACTAAATATTTCTGGTCTGCAAATTCATACTTTTACCTTGCAGTTGGCAACCCATATTAATTCAGTCGACATTTTCTCTCAGCATGGAAAAGCCATGAATATGTGTTTGAATGTTTTAAATGTGACACATGAACATTTTGCACGTGGAAAAATAAAAATTAATTTTGTGTACTCTGACATCTTCTTCGTGGTAGGATTGCATCCTCAACGGTTACAACCGGAATTGAGACTGAGGAATGCGATCATTTTGGAGGTCTCTTTCCGTATACGGCGAATTTGCATCTCCGCGGCTCCTTAGCTATGGTTAGGCACTGTGTTTTGCTCATCGATATGTTCATGTTGAATTTTGACGCAGATTGTCCGAACTTATAAAGAAGCCATTGCAAATCGTCTTCGCTCTCGGATATTAATACGGCATCGTCTGCATGCCATATTACTCTGATTTATTTGTACCCCATCCGATATCCTCGCCCCGCCTTCTTGTCCTCTGTAATCATTTCACCCATGATTATGTTAGGGTGGGGTCTTATTAATATGTTGAACAGTAGTAGAAGATGGAACTGCCAGTAAAGGATGGTGGTCGGTCTGTAGGATGAAGTGTCTTCCCCTCGCAAACTTGTGAAAACGTTCGACTGAGATGACCAGTGCCAGTGCCTCCTTCTCGATCTGGGTGTAGTTACGATGTCGTCGAGGTACACGATCACACCATCGATTGACCGTCGAGACCGGTCTCTACAGTACGTTGGAAGGTGGCCGAAGCTGGCTTGAGCCTGAACACGAGACGATTGTGCTGCAACAGTCCTCTGTGGGTAGTAGGCCTGGGTAATACTGTGTGTTGATGCTGCTCTCTGTGTCCATGTGCCGCGATACCTGGCTTCTTACGACACGGCACTTTCAATAACAGTTAACATTTAATCTTATTCAAGATGGTAGACTTCGGATTGCAGTTCGTCAAGGCCACGCGCAGTTACCATATGGTTCCCGACACTCTTGGCAGGGATTATTTACATTATAAAGACGCACGAACGATTATTTCTGCTTCTATTAAAGTTCTGCAGGGTTCATAAACATCAGATTTTTTTCTAGTCCTATACGAGGTATACCTATTAGAAAATATGAATTTTGCTCAAGAATAAAGCACCTTTATTTGTGACAATATCGAAAATTGTTATTAAGAAAAGTTGACAAGAGTTGAAAAGTTCGTTCAGATATCGAATGGCACCTACCTATGATGAACATCCAGTTTTGTTATTTTTGTTTGTTTAAGTTGGTTTGATGGGGAACATTTTTATTATAAATTTTACGAAAAAAGTTACTGTTCATAAAAAGTTCTGCATGTTGCAATCTAATCAATCATGCAAATGTAAAATACAATTGTCAGATATCAACATTTTTTAGTCGTATCGAAGGTGTCCGAAAATATAATTTATTTTTTCACATAATTGGATGTAATTGCATATTGGAACGTAGTTTTCAGTTATGATCAACTTTTTTTACAATGTTCGATATTGTGAAAAAAGGCACTTTATTCTTGAGCAAAATTCACAATGCACAATTAATATCTGATGATTGCATTTTAAGTGTTGGACCAAGCAGTACTGAAATTACAACATCTGCGATTTCGACATATCAACAAAGCAAAAAGGCAAATGCCTGCCTTTTTATTACTACCAGATAGCATAAAAAATCAGTCAGCGAAGAAGTCCAAGAAACTTATATAAATGGTTTTGCAGCCTTTGCATACATAAAGGAACAAAATTCATTTGGTCATAATTTACAGCTGACCCAGCAGCTTCGAAACCAAATTACATATAACAAAATCACATATACTTGTGAGACAAATACAATAGGCGTTACAAGAAGAAAATATGTTGCGACTTCATTCATTCGATTCATTAAAACAACGCAGCCTGCGTCTGTCATAGTCTCTTCAGTAAAACCAAATATGTAACGCGCTGCACGGCCTAAAAACACCGCTGGCGAACCTACTAGCAAACTACAGCGTCTTCTGTTGTTGTTTTTCAACATATAAAAAGCGTGGCGCGCTGAGTTGCTGTATCAATACGGCAAGCTGCATCCGTGTCGCTATGTGAACACCTGAAAATCTACTGTGTTACCCAGGCCTAGTGTGTAGTGATCGTAGTCGGCTTGCGCCATGGAGCAGAAGCTGGTTGAAGGCGTCCGAGAAGTCGAGTGAACTGAACACTTTGTTCCCACTGAACTTACTACCCCTGAACTGGGTTCTCCTCCGATTGTAGCGCATCGTTGAGTCCGACCGAAAAGTCGGTTCTATCCATTTCCACGGCGTGTAACAACGATCGGAGCAGCGTTAGTGAACGTACCCTTGTTGACCGGGCGATCGATCTCTGCGTTAAATGGTTCTTGGACCGCCAGTGCCACAGGTCGGCAGGGCCGATGAGCTGATCGAGCACTGAGCTTCAGACGATAATGTTCTTGTTCCAATTGTCCGAAATCCAGTCCAGTCATCCGAAAAGGTCTGGATACTTTGCGTGAAGTGCGTCGACTGATACATCCAGTCTAGTGAGTACCTCCTCACTGAGTAGGCGGATATTTTTCTTGACGACAAGAGACTGGAGCTGTAGTAGCGTGTCCCTTGTAGGATATTGTGTTGATTGCGTTCCCATCTGCGTTGCAAACCTTGTACGTGCACTTCTTGCGAGCTGGGGAACCGATCTGCGTGTACCTGTTCTCGCTAATCATCGTTATGTCCGCATTTGTGTCCACTTGCATTTTGACCCGTAAGTCGTTCATATTGATGTCGAAGAACTTGCCATCTTTCCTCTTGTTTCCCATGTGAACGTCCATGATCTGGACGGTCTTCAATTGGTCTTCTTCTTAGACCTGCAGATTTGAGCCAGGTGTCTAACTTTTCCGCAGTTGTGACATTCGTTGTCGATGTTGGAGTGCGTGTCGAGTCCACAGCGATTGCATGGCCACCTTGATCCATGGATATTTTTCTTTTCCGGTTTGACTTGTCTTTCTGCTCCAGGCCACTTCCGACGGTGGTGTTCGTAACGCGCACGGAGTGGGCACGGCACATCTCGCGTATCCTGGTGAGGTTGACGGTTTGGTTGCCGCTCTCCTTCAAGATGATTGCACAGTACGGGTGGTAGTAGGGGTCGCTCATCCGAGGTGCCGCCAGGAGGAGTTTGAACTTGTCCAAGTCCAGTTTGTCAAATTCGAACAAGTCTCCATCTAAGTTGACCTCATCGAGCATGGTGTCGATGTTCCGACTCGTCGCTTTGGCGATCAGAGTATCGAAACGACGTTGGAAAGCCCGCGTGTCGGAAAACAAAGACCCCAGTTCCTTCACCAAGTCGCTGAATCTCCGTTGTCTTCTTGGGCGAATTTTTTTTTTTGTTGTTGATGCACTTAATCTTAGATTAACAAGCATCCTAAATATAACCTGAATTACTACGGTTTGTTAACTGTGATATTCCCAGCGGTCCATCACAGGTTTTCGCATGGTTTCGCGCACTAAACTGTTGTGGCTAACCTGCCTATACTCTGCTTTTCCACGATTCATTTCACGTCAATGTTCACAAGCTCAAACGGTTTAGTCCTTTTCAGCCTCCTCACTGTGTTCTGGCTATCTAGCAGTTGAAGTACTTCAACATTCGGATGGTTGTGGGGTATCTCTTCATGTCTCCTGGCTGCTATCGCTATTTCTTCTTTGACTGTCCGCACTTGTAGCTCACGATGCAGATCCTCATTCCGAACGTACCAGGGTGCATTAACAATGTTCCTTAGTACCCGGTTCTGGAACACTTGTAGGCAATTGTAATTGCTTCGTTTGGTACAACCCCACAACGGAAGGCCATATGTCCACACTGGTTTAAGGACTTGTTGGCAAACCAGTAATTTGTTTTTAATGGAAAGCTGCGAACCTCTTCCCAGCAGCCAATACATGCTTTTGCATTTATTTTTTTTGTTTTATATTTTGCAGTTTTAATTGTTCAGTCTTCCTTTTAACGTGAACTTTCCAACTAAGCTTGACATCCAGGTTAAGTCGTAAATATTTAGTAGTTTCTTTGAGAGGAATTATATTGTTATGTAATTTCACCGCAAGATGATATATTTTTCTATTTGTAAAATTGATGTGAACAGACTTATTGTCATTTAATTTAATACGCCACTGTGCGGTTCAAGTGTCTATGGCGTTTATTGCATATTGAAGATTGGCTGTTGTCTCTTCTATAGAATTTCCTACTGCTAGAACTGCAGTATCATCAGCAAGTGTTGCTAGTTCTATGTGATCTGTTACAGGTATGTCGCAAGTATATAATAAGTACAGCACTGGTCCAAGCACACTGCCCTGGGGGACTCCACCTTTGTCAATTTCAACTCCGAGTATTCGTTCCCTTGTTTGATTCTGAAGGTTCGATGATTTAAATATGATTGCAATAGCCGTGCATACTGCAATGGAATGGCGTTTGTTTTGTCTTTCTTCTGCGTGACGGCATTGATATCGAGTTTAGTCTCCAGGCCACTTCCGACTGTGGTGTTCGTAACGCGCTGGGAGTGGGCACGGCACAGATTCTCGAAACGACGTTGGAAAAGAGTGCGCGTGTCGGGAAACAAATATCCCAGTTCCTGGACCAAGTCGCTGAACTTAATTTCCGTTGGCTTTTTGAGCGAAATTCGGCCGCGAAGCTGGAGGTACTCTTGTTCACCCAGCGCATTCAGCAGGAGTTCGACTTGCTCCACGGCAGTCAAGAGCGTAGATGCTAGATGCTAGAGTTGAAAGTGATTTTATGCCGTTGGACCACTGGAGAAACGTGCAGCCTGACATCGGGTCGTAGGTGAACCTTCCTAGTCGCTTCGCAATGTCGCCGAGCGTTTGTTGCTGCTGAGCTCCATGAGAGTTCATCGCTCAGGGTCGTAGCAGCGCCAATTGATGGGTTTGGAAGCAATGGCCGAATAGTTGAACAAACAGCCGGTTTATTCTTAAACAACGGTATACAATCTTCGGATTCACTCTAACTAACTAACTAGCTGGGTAATTTATAGCCTATATACCAAGGCTTCTAGTCAGGCGTAAAATGTTCTCGAACATTACAATACTACCAGTCCTAACCTGGAATGTTCTCGAGCATTATAATAGTACAGTCCTAACTTAAAATGTTCCGAACTTGCGAACCCAACACTTCTGAAATGTTTTAAAGCAGAATTTGAAATAGAATTTATCAAGGAATTTATATCGGCGCTTAGAAATCTTGTAAAATAGTAAAATATAGATATTTTCGCACCATCGGATGAACCATTGATAGCTGGTTTCAGAAATGTAAACCCTTTGCGTTAACGATGCTCGATATATGGAGTGTTAGACTCACTGGATCTGAATCAGGAAAATCCTCAGCAAATTGATCCGATTGAGCGCCAGGACTATCAAACATTAAGTGGCTGGGAGGTATAGCGAAAAACAAGGGAGGGTAGAAGCAAAGTAGTAATAGGGGTGAGACACTTAAAAAAAAAGTCGCGCAAAAATATTTTTATCAGCGCTGCAAACGTGACTGGCAGCATCTTCAGTTCTTGTAGCTGTAAACTCCTTATTGGCCAAGTCGCGAACTAATAAAGACCTGCGGTCACTTGATGATGACCAACCGCCGAACCATCGTACTCCTTCGTGTGCACTACTCAAATGACAGTTTTTCAAATGCCATTAACCCAAACGTGATGGGATCAAGCAAACCGCGAACTTGCGGTCAGCGGGCCAAATTAGATGCGACAAACCTTTCGATCATCCCGTAGATCTCATCCGGCTTGTGACTGGTTGCACGCACTTCTGCCACGATTACGTCCGAGTCGAGGCCTCGATTCAGGTCCTTCGGGTTACCTTTCATTCCCACTAGGCAATGCTCTTTGCCATGGTTCAACCAATGTCCAGTACGACCTAAAAATTGCATTCTAGCTTAGTACCAAACTTTTGCGGAGAGTGAAGTGAGTGTGCTAAGCTAAAAGGAATGCTGAGGAGCAGGGGCTTAGCGGTTAACAGCGGTGTGGATGATGTTTGAGAGAGTTACAAAGTGTGCTGTAATGTATGCAAGTGAGTTTTGAGGTGAGAAGGCGCTGGATTCTAAAGTGAAACGGCAGCTGCAGGCGACTCACAGATTAATGCTGTTGGGTATGGGACGGGGTTATAGGACTGGCTCAACTGAGGCCCTACAGGTGCTCTGTGGATCCACCCCGGTGTGGCTGGAGTGTTTCTGTATGTAGAAATGAACAGAAGGATTTGGAATGCATATGAGAGCAGGTCGGGTGAGAGTTTTCGCGTATAGGCGTTTGAAGTGACTCTTGGCGGTAGGTACACTTTGACGTCACTGAATGGATGCAAAGGTAGTGTGGGGATGTGATGGTAGATGAGGAATGGGGTGGAACAAGTGTGGCACATATGGAGACCGTGACCATTGTCAAGGCGCTTGAAATGCTACGATATCGGCCGGTGTACTATTCGCGAAAGGCCATCGGAAGTTTGGAGGATTATAACCATTAGATCATGACTACGATCACTTATTAGCTGTGCAGGCGGAGGGTAATATACACAATATGAAGGGGATGGGGTGAAGATAGGAATTCTCTGGAAGAGAATTGCAGACGATTTGGCGAGAAGGGCTCTCTGGGGTGTGCCAAAGGGTAGGGTGAAGATCCAGCTGGCTACTGGGTATGGCAACTTCTGGGCACAACTCTATAGATTTGGGTTGAGAAGCTGTGGGGAGTGTGGATGCGGCCATGGCTAGGCTCGGAGGGAACTTTGTCTCTCTCCGGATGGCACTTGAGAGGGGAAAACAGAATGAGAGATCAGGGTGTCCTGGACTCATTTGCGAGAGTTGCTGGATTAGGAGAGTACGGGCGCAGGGGTGCGCTAGAACCGCCCACAGAACAAAGTGAACGTAGATGTATGTACGTGGGCATCAAACCTCAGTATCGATTTTAGTTTTATTCTAGGGTATAGGGTAGGATTAAGGCATTCGCACGGGCAAGACGCTGAGCGATACGTGCCTGTGCCGGGACGCTCGCAGTTAGAGCCCTATGCCAAGAGAAATTTTCAGAACGCGTAATTTTGAGATTGAGTGATGTCAATTGGCCCGCAAGATCCTGCGACTTAACACCGTTAGATTTCTTTTTCTGGGGCTATGCGAAAGATCGTGTTTACGCCAACAATCTTCAAACTCTTGAGCAACTGAAAGCCAATATCCGTGGAGTTATGACCGGGATATTACCGGTAATGTGTCGAAGTCATTCAAAATTACCTCAAAAGGATTGAGGCCTGTAGGAGGTCCCGTTGGCGACATTTAAATGATACTGTTGTTCACGTATATGCAAGGTTTAATCTTTATATTGAATTAACATTAACATTTTCGTCTCCATCTGAATATTTTGTGTTTTTTTTACTTTACTACTATATACATATTACATACAGGGTGAATCCAAATTGGCGTCATTCCTTTTAAGGGGTAATAGGGGAAGGTACGAGAAAAATATTATACAAATTTTTTGGATAATTTCTAGAAGATACTAACAGTTGAAAATCGAATTTCAACTTTGTTATTAAGCATTATTTTGAAAGTGTTCCATGTTTAATTGGAAGCATATTGGAAAACTTTAACATTAAAAAAAAAAATTACGATCTTTGCTTCAAATTACGAAAATTTTTGATATTAAAAAAGTTTTGTGTTACAATTTTTTGATGAAAAGTCAAAGCGGCAATAATGTTTTTTATCATTAACAAAAAGTTACAGGTGCATAGCTCTGTCAATAATAACAATAATTTGTCAAACTGTGACTTACTTTGAATTTCCTTTTACGAATTTGCGGATATGCGATTAGCTCAGGGGAAATGCTACAGTAACATAGCAGAAGCTGAAAGAACTCACACCAACAAAGGGCAAGGAGAGTGGTTCCAAGATATTGAACGACAATAGATGTTCGAGTGCCAGACAGAGAGGAACAAGTATTGGTCATAATTGCAGAAGAGCCTTTCAGGGGCACACAGAACATTACACAACTGACACTTTCCCAGGCAACAAATAAATACCGGCTACATTCCTACCACGTATGTAAGATCACATTAAACCAATGAACTACTCAACACCGGTATAAATTGAGCAGGTATTTATGCAATGTTAATTAGGCAGATTACCTTGAAAAATATTGTTGCCGTTTTTCTAATATCGTTTTTCGAAAATTTCTCAGTTTTTAATAACAATTTTTTTTCTAATTTTTCTGCACTCCTAAAACACCGCCAGACAACACCTTCAGAGGAATGACGCCAATTTTGAATCACCCTGTATACTACTGCACTATCCACTCAAAGTCGGGCATGAGGCGACCCGACACCTCATGTAATTTTGCGTTCCGTTCAAGTTGAGCGATGAATGTGAATACTTCCATTTAAATAGCATGTTAGAGTAACTTATCCCATTTTGACTGAAGCATGCGAGGACGGTGAGCTGAGCTACAGTAAGAATCGACCTCTACGCTGTTTTGCTGATTTCCACCGACCCCAAAAAAACGCGCTGTGCTGTACAGCTTCGCTCGCGTTGCACGCGCCTCAATTTGCGCCAAGTCTCACAAAACCACCCCCACCATCCACTCTTAAATAAATCCTGCGTTATTCGTGCACATAGACGCTTACCAGTTCTGATGATTCTTTGCAACTGATTGGTCTTGACCCAGATGATTTCATCCACTCGTTCGTAGCCCCACAACTTGAGGCACTCCCTGCCCAGTTCCATAGCTCGTCCAGTAACCCACAAGAATATCAGTCCTGAAACAACGCTCGTTCACGCTGCATCGGGCAAATGGGAATTAGGCAATTCAGTTACCTTCGTCTTGCAGTTGCGGTATACCCAGTTGTCTCATTTCATCGTCGGACATTGTTCCATATGGGAGTTCCATGTGGATGTCCCAAGGCGGATCAGCCATTATCACTGCAAATTTTCCTAAAACTCGCAATGCCAATGGCTGATTGGGCTCTGGAAAGTTGCTTACCTAACACGGTCATATCCAGGTACCGCAGGTCGCATTGCACCCATTGCGGTGGATACAGTGTGGTGCTTTCCACTCGTCCAACTGCTGGTAGGTTGGGAATGACCAACTGATTGCCATGGATTTGGGCTGCCCTATCCACTTCGTAATGCACGTATTTACACGTGTCCATATGGAAGCAGGTATTGAGAAAAGAACAATCCCCTAGATAGATGCACCGGTGAGTAGAAGAGGACGATAAAGTGGCTCTTATGGTACTAACCCAACGACTCATCCGTGTGTTTTTGGATTATTTTCTTGAAGTGTAGCTTCTTGCAATCGGTGATTGAATTTTTTTCACAATCCAACCTGGTTCCATGTGGACAGAACTCCATAAGCTGTGTACCACCTGGGGTACACATGGGGATTAAGGGCTTGACATTGTGCTTAGAGGGTTTGGGGTACACGTTAGAGGTATTGAAACAGTAACTACACTGGAGTTTGCCCACAACTATCTTGTATAAAACTCATAAATTAATTAAAAGTGAAGGAATGCCGGTATTACAGTGCCTTCTTTTCCCGTATTTATTGGCCAATAAATTGGACAAATCATTAAATGTCACCCGGTATATACACCAGTTGTTCGCCAACGGTGCACTGTGCAATAGGTTCTAAAAATTATGCGCAAAACGGAATTGGACTTTCATCACATGCGTCAAACCACCTCAAGTTTTCCATTGATTTTATATGCGAAAAACGTGTTAATTTGTTGACCCTTCCGTTGAACCTAGATGTTCTTACGCACTTTGAAGTGCTGAATCGAAAGCTACCAACAGTTTTTCTCTAAGTATCGACAATAAGCAAAAACCCTTGGAAAACGTGAAAAAATGAGTGAAAAAAGTCAATAAAGTGGCCCGTAACGATGTAAAAACATTCAGTTTTCATTTGAGTTAAGTAGTTTTTTGTGCTTTGAGCTGCTGCATACAGTGGAGTGCTGATTTTTTGTCTACATATTTATGATTTTTTTTCAGGCTTTTTACGAACAATTTGAATGTTGAAATCGGCAAGTGCAGATTTCGAAATGCGCCAACCTCAGACACTCCCAGAACCGGTTTCGAGCCTATTAGCTCTCATTAGGTGGGTTCAGACTGAAATTAGCGATTCCGAAACCTGCACTTTATAATATCAATGTATACTTGTTGATTTTTTCTAAGCTTCAATTTTTCTGATTTATTCAAGATTTTTCGCCAGTTCGATTAGCTTTGAAAAGGAAGCAGTTTTCTTGTCGTAAGCGTGTGTTATAGGCATAAGTAATATTGTGTTGCATGATGCTTTTGAGTAAATGCTGCTCTGTGAGTTAAGGAGCTGTAACTCATCTCACTGCGCTGCACTTCGAATTACGCTTTGCATGTAACCCAGAGCCGGATTAAAGCTTTACGAGGCCCGGGACTAGAATTTTCCCACCAGAAAAAATCATCACATTTTTAATGGGTAAAGTTTATACAGTTTGGAGACATTTTGTTTAATGCGCTGGTGGGTAACTGCGCCGGTGCATTGAGTTGGCGCACCAAGCCATTTTGCCAGCACTGCGCCAGTTTTTTTAAATTCACTGAGTTACCCATGCCTAGTGGTGTGTTATGTACGTTTGCTTTATGATTTTTTGTAAGGGTTTTTTACGACCCATTTGAAAATTTTTGGATCATATAGCTCATATAGCACAATCAGCGCTATTTTCAATAAAAATTAAAAGTCTTCTTCATTATCGACACTTTGCTTCGTTCTTATTCAATTGTATTTTCCCCATATTCCCCAGTCATTCCTTGCTTAAAATCACTGCAGATTTGCATCAAACTTAACTTTGAATTAATATTTTTGCTTTGCCATTTCTTGTGGAATCTCAAGAATTCATTAATTCTTGTTGTCTTATTTTTTTCTTTTTTTAATTTTTCTTTTTTCTTAGATTTTGGCCTAAAAACGAAGTGAGTTTGATTCGATCAAAAATACATTTAATTTACTTTCATTTTCATATTTTCATTCAATCTGATTATGTATTGGTTGGCCACAAATCACGATATATTGGAAAATATTTCCTTGAATAGTTCACAATACACAGTTCGCTTCGTCCTATTTTCCTTATATCCTTCTATGTGTGCTTTATGGGATCTCAGGCATGGCAAGCGCATTTTTCTTTGGCACCACCACACCACTGTGACCACCTTAAGCAATTAATAATAGATTTAAAAGCAGCGTTTTTAACACAAAAGCTTACCCAAGATGCGACAAAACTGCAGTTGATGACGTTCGTCGTTCGTGACATGAACATACGTGCGTACGTATCCTTTTATAAAAATTCGTTGTAGTTCGTCGTTTCCATACCGTCGGCAATTAACCAAATTTTATTTCGCCGGCGCGCTGTCGCTTGATGGCGCGCTGTCGCCAATGAGAGAACGAGTTTCGTATCACGTAAGTGACTGACAGTGATATTTCTCAAAACGAGGCCGTGTTTTATTTAATGATTCAACAAGATGGCTGATCACGTTATTTTCGTTGATGATTCAGACTTTAGCAGCTTGTTATTACAACAAATTATGAATACTTGTACAATTTAGGGCACAGAAAATGTACAAAAGCCCAGTAGAAACAAACGCGTTGCGTTTGTTAACGGCTGAACTAGCGACCGCGATAAATCGCGACATCTTTTATGATGGTGAAATATAAATTCAAACAAGATACTAACGACCCTTTTTTCAATAGCAAATATGAAGATAAATTGAACGTAAAAGCTTGCGTCTAGATCTAGACAAATTCGATCAAAAAAAATTAAATTAAGTGTGTATTATTGGGTAAACACAACACACAACATAACCAACCTGACGAATAAAATTGCAACGTCGGCCACTGCGAACTGCACAATTAAAGGCGGATTTATAAACTCGCGCTTGTAGCAAATTTGTAGCATTGTGCCGTTGTCCAATAGAAATCCGTCGTTGGCAGCACGTGTTCGAAATGCGTTTGAATGTAATGTAATAATTCGCGGCTAAACAAAAAACAAAGGAGTTTTTTGTTCCATCTTGATTTTCTTGTTAGTTTGGGTTAGTTTGAGGACAAAGTTGCATCTTTTACCATTTTTAGTAGACACTTGACCCTATAGATATGGAAAGTTTCAGAAAAATTCATCCGGAACCTGATTTTCGTCGCCTTGTGACTGTAAATTTGACTCACAAAATTGATGTTGTAAGTCACTTGCGCTCGCTTACTTAAAAATTCGCATCTCTCAAACTAGAGGACGCTAGTTCTAGAGACTAGAGGACGCGAGGTCAAAGTTTCGCGCTTAGAACATAGGTGGCGACAAAATCTTGGTGTTGTGTGCCGATATGTAAGTACTCGTGATACAATGAATACTAGGTAGGATATTGCGTCGATTTGCATGACGTCAATGGAAGTCACTGCGTGTCGTGCTTTTTTTCTGTCTGCTAAATGTGATTAAATATAGCTTAATTAATCTCTGTCACATTTAATTATTTTTTTATAAATCTTTGTTATAATTACAAAATGCTGTGCAGCAGGTTTTAAACTTGAAAATGAAATAACAAAAAAATTATTATTTTGTAGACCAGCACAGTTGACAGATGTGCAATAAAGTATAGCGTTTGTTTTTGGCAAATACTCTAAAAGTTCGAATTGCAAATTCGTCTCATGTCTCATAATCATCATTTTTGAAATGCTGAGAGCACATTCTGGCGGAAGCAACATTAATGGTGTCTGCACGACAACAAGCATTCTCACGGCTTGCTTAAAATACTGTCTTTTGAAAATCTATGAAACTTTATTTCGGAGATTTAACTCTCGAATTACTAATGCAACCGTAAACTGCATACTGCATTTTTTATATTTCTGAACACTTTCCAACTGCCAAAGGCAAAATTCTCAATTGTTTTTCTACAAGATTCCCAAACATTCCCAAACGCATTCGCTCCATGATACAATTAATTCATTCAATGATACAAAATGGATTCATTGAATGATACAATTAATTCATTGTTTCGTTTGGCTCTACCCGATTTCACGAATGACACTCTGGCAACACAACAAGCTAAAACGCTGAAAAAAGTCAAACCGAAACCAAACCGAGCTGAAAAAAACCAAGCTGTTTCGGCAGTACTGCCGAAACGGTTCCTGAAAATTCACCCATGTCTACCATGTCTGAGTTACCCATGTCTAATTATTGGCATTACTGTTGCAGATGAGGGAACATTTAATTGCATTTTACAGCTAATTTGGCTCTACTGAAGGCAAAATGTAGGATTTACTCCTATTAGACCGTATTAAAATATGCAATACTTTTATGCTAAATCTTTATTTTGCATAAATATTCGGTTTAAAAGCAAATAAATAATAAAACTTGACTACTGTGACATGCTCACTTCGAATGCATTAAGTACAAATACAAATTTTAGCCTATTCGAGTTTTTTAACGATAAAACTAACGAATAATATTGGAAACTTATTGGTTTATGATTTAAATTAAAGATATCAGATTGGCCTCCCGCAATTATAATTTTTGCCGAATAAAATTGCTGTGACCGAATAAAATTGATGTTGATCTTTACGGAAGGATTTGTATTCATTAATTTAAAAAATGTCCTTTTTATGAAATTTTCTGCGCTTGTAGAGCTTTAGACTCTTACGGAGGTTTAACTTTTACTTACATGCGATACATCTTTGCAAAATAAGAAAATATAGACCTGTAAGACCTGCTTGGCAGGTGTAGTCCTCGGTAATGAACAATAGCGACTGGCAAAAACGTGTGATCGTCATACTTGACAATGACCGTTTGCTCGCCGTTTTTTGAAGTGTAGCACATTTTCTTCGGAATGTTCATTGTCGGGCTGCCTATCTCGAATCTACGTCCCACCAGTACCTTTGCTATTACCATTACCTTGTCTTGACGCCTCTTATTGTCACGATGGTAGTGCGTGGCGTAGAAGGACTGTGTGGCGAATGAAATTCCACGACCAAACTTGTGCGTTTTTATCTGAAACCACAATTGACACAAAAATCTTCTCAGAAAACGGAGATATTTGCCCAAGCAATCGAATGTGAGTGAATTTAAAACACAAAAATCGGGACATTTTAGAACTGGAATTTAGTTTATTTTTTTTATTAGTTGAGTCTTCAAAGTTGTAGAATTTATCATAGAATTGCTCAACATTAGATTTCACAGTTTGGTTCTTACTTAACTAATGCTTGAAGCTCTCGGGGGAGCCTGCAACCTCTAGAGAGCGTATCCCCGGGTAGCGGATAGGGGAAAACTTCCCAGGGATGGGTAGTAAGAGGGAAATCAAATACCTCCCGCGGATCAACAGGTTTAGTGGGTGTTTGACGCCAGAGGAGCGACCCACAACAGCGTCTGACTCAGATTGGGCGGCTGAAACAAGAACTGGCCAACACGCTCGGCAAGCGTGGCCTTTGAATGCCAAAACCTTCCAAATCCATGTCATGCCGAGTTTTGAAATCACATTACTCCAGGCGAGTAGAGTGAGTGAGTCAGAATCTCGCCCTGATCAGTCAGTCCCCCTCGTGAATTCTGGGGCAGGCAAAACCTCAATATGCAGAAACAAAGATGTTGTCCCACAAAAAAATGTAATCCGGTGCGCAACATACAACATCAAAACAAGGAGAACAGCTAAACATCTCGAAATTCTGGAGAGAGAGCTACAAAATGTGGACTCTCATCTTGGTGTCGTGGCGATCCTAATCGACAAAAAAAAACTAAAACACCTAGTTACCAGGATGGAAGCTGTGTCTGATCCAAGAAAACCAGCAAAAGATCCTCCTTTACAAATAATTCAAACGTATGCTCCGCCAGGCTCTGCAGAAGACCATGAAGCCGCACATTTTCATGAGGACATAACAGCAGCTCAACGATTGAGAAACGCACAATTCTCTATAATTGATAGACAAGAATTTGTTGGCTACTTCGTTGATCATTAAATACTTTTAGGCCGTTCCCCAGTCGCTGATTTCATGCCAAACGGAGCTGACGAGAGCTAATAGGCTCGAAACCGGTCCTGGGGGGCTTGAGGTTGGCCAACCTCGAGACTTGCACTATCTTACATGATCCCTATAAACCTGGCATTCGTCGACTATGAAAAGACTTTCGCCTCGGTTGAAACTTGGGCGATCTTGAGAGCAGTGGACAACGCAAGAATAGATACGAGATACACGAAACTTATGGACAGTATAAAAACGCGACAAGTGGTCATTGATCAAGACATGTCGACAGATAAAATCAGACTGGGAAAAGGGGTCAAGTCAAGGAGACACCATTTGACAAAAGCAATTTACTGATGGAAGACACTTTTAAGAATCTACTAAGGTATAAATATAGATGGAGTCCTCCCAAGTCACCTGCGTTTCGCTGATGATATCGCGGTTATTGGTGGCGACGCCCTAAGGTCCATGTTAGAAGAACTATAAGCAGATTGGACTAAAAATGAATTTAGGGATGACAAAAATAAGGACCAATGAAGATGTTGGGGGAGAAGGGAAGGCTCTTGAGATTGTAGACGAATATGGAAATTGAAGCCCCACCATCAGGCTGGGAAAACAAAATCAAGCAGCGAAAATATGTGGAAGGATGGGATTGAGCCCAGATGATCCCATTGACCTTAAAAGGAAAGTTCATGATTCCTGAACTCTGCCAGTAACAACTTATGATATGGAAACCGTAACTCTCACGGAGAAAAGTGAAGATTGGCTCAGAATAACACAAAGGGCGATGGAGCGTGCCATGTTGCCAAATGAACAAAGAGAGTTGGATTGGCGCTCAAGAAAATCGAAGAGCAGTATGGGAAGGCACCCATAGTGATGGCGGGATGACTTCCAACGGATAGTAGGAAGGGGATGCAGACTGCCCGAAACAGACAAGCATGGAGATTATTGGAAAAGGCCTACATTCAGGAGTGGATGAACATAGGCTGAGAAGAAGCGAAGAATACTTGATAGCCACTTTCTTGCTCTCTGACTTCCACAATCGGGTGTAGGCATGAGTAGCTGAGGAAATTTTTATGGGTTGGCGCAGTGTAGCGGAACCGCTTAGCCAACACAATGCAACGGCGCAGTAACTCACCGGCGCATTTTATGATGCAGAACACTCACAATATCATAAATGTGAAGAGAGATAACAGAGAACCTTGTGTTACGTGATGTGTAGTGGAGTCGTACGTCATGTGCATTGCCTAATCGGATGTTCCTATGCCGCCCTTTCGATCTCTTCAATAATTAATCCATATTCTATAGTGTTGTCCATTTTGATCATCGGTTTGAAGAGCACCATTAAAAAACTAACCACGAATGTGCGTTTGTTAGCAAATATCTGTCTGGATGCATGCTTATAGTTTAAGTTAGTAAGTACTTAAAAAAATCTGGGACTCCTCAAGCTGGGCATGAGTAACACTGCGTTGAGTCGCGCTTTTGAGTTGATGCCGATTTGTGCGTTATAACTCATCGCGTCTCACTGCCCAGCACCTTGAATAACGCTTAACATTCCACCTCACGATGACAGAATTAGATTGATGATAAATTATGAAAATGGACTGATTAGATTCAGTTGAGCTCTTTTGGTTATCGACATTTTTGCCAATTTTTTTAAAACTATATTTTCACGATTCTCTGGAAAACTATGAAAGTTGGATAAGGATCGTTGGATAGTGCTCGAATAACTTTTTTCCAGGGGAAACTTCGTTTTAAAAAAAAATATAATGTAAAATTTCGAAAAAATCGTAAGGGTTTCGTTACGATTTTTTAAGCTTTAAAATTCGACGAAATCGATTGCAACAGGATAAATGGTTGACCTTGAAAATTTGAGTTAAAGTTAGTTGAAAGGTTAGGAAAAAAGTTGAAGATTTTCGAACATGTTTTCCATTCATTGGTCTGGCTAAAACCGAAAACTTGTTTTTTCTCATTATGTCCTTCAAAAAGCTTTAATCAGATCTATAGCTATGTTTCGATCTTACTAGAATCCATTCATCATCATTTTCTGATTTGTGGGACGCATTTTAGTTGATCGGTACCACAATTTACCGATTACATGGAGTAAAAGGGTTTCTTTTCTTCCACTTTACCGAGCGATTTGACATGGAGTTGGTTCGTATTTGTCTCAATCCTAACTGGGTCTATTTCAACCAACTCAAAAGCCATTTGACAATTGTCTTCAATTTTGAGAATTTCCCTTCCATAAGGACCTGTACAAACTTTTTCGTCTTCCCCCTGCAGCTCACAGAGAAAATTTATTTGGAACCAACCAAAGTCAATTTGTCATGTAACTTTTCCATATTTAACCACCTGCCAAAGAATAATTCCGGAAAAAAAATGCGCTTGACCAAAACTATTGCGATTTTTTCAAAATTTTACTTTTTCTTTATTTTCTCGAAAACAAAGCTGCCTATCGGAAAAAGTTATTCTGTGTAAAATATCGGTATCTCGGTTCTTTTCACAGTTTCTGAAAAAAAAATTGTTTCCAAAAAACTGCTATTATCTCGGTAGCCAAAAGAGCTGATTTCAATCTAATCAGTCCAGTCGATCGGCCGTCTCAAGTTCCCCAAAATGTCTGTATTAACTTTTTCGTTACGATCGATAATAAGCGAACAACTGACGATTTTCTAAAATGATGCAAAATTTCGAAAACTTTTCCCAATTTTGTCATGTCAATGYCGATCAAATTTTGACATGGATTCCTACTAGTCTCAATACTAATTGACATCGATTCTGTTAATTCCCGGAATAATAGGCAGTGTTGGCACACATTGAAGCACTGACAATGTTGCCTACACATGGATCTTTTCTCCGAAGATTCGCTTTTGAGAAAACTAGACTTTTCAAGGAGAAAATATGTTGCGACTTCATTGATTCCATGCACTAAAACAACGCATCCGTTGTGTGTCAGTAAATGTTGTCATCAATCAAATCATCGCTGCACCGCTTGAAAGCAAAGCGCATGACGCATGACTCCCCTACACAGCACGTATTTCAAGGTCCTCTGTTATCTCCCTACACATTTACCGTATTAAGAGTTTACAGCATCATAAAATGCGCCGTTGCATTGCGTTGGTGACCAAGCCGTTTCCGCACCACTGCGACAACGCCCGAAAATTCACTGAGTTACCAACCCTACTTCAAATAGGCATCAGCAGCGCCTTAAAAGCATATACACCAATTTCAAATCACACAGCTTTTGTAAAAAATAAATGACATGAATGAAAAATAAAGACAAGGGCACGATGAATAAAGAAACATGAACTCTAACTGGATACATACCTTAGATCTGTCAAAGTTGTAAGTGCAAATTCCATTCACAAAATCTTGCCTTGTTCCATGAAACAACAAACTCTCGGTAAATCCTTCCTTGTAAACTGTATCATACTTCTGTTTTGCTAGTCGGTAATGTAGGGAATTAAAAATATTATGCACCGACTTCATTTGGACGATTGAAAAGTCCGCGTTGTTCACTCGAAATAACGAAGCATACGAGATAAAATCATAGGAAGTTTCGAACAGTTCTTTTTCCAGGTAGGGTTTTACAGGAAATGTGTGTAAAGGTTGTTCGCCGAATGCTAATGCCAGTTCACTTAAAACGTCTACATTCGGTGTCACGTCCGACTGAATCAGTGTTGAGAGGAAGTCTAACGCCTGATGTTGTTGTTGACTTGGGCGAGTTTGTGAGAGATTTATCGCCCTCTCTTCCAACTTCACGGAACACAACGCACGTCCTTCTGTCTCGATTTCTGGTATTCCCGTTCCTACGATTGGTTCTTCGTACTCTGTATTTGATGGAAAATCCGCATTTTAGAACAATAGCTAGTTAGTGTTTACCATACAATCCCGACTATCGATGTAGTCAACTAAACAATTTCGTGAATTTTGCCGTAATAGGCGGGATGACGGTGTGAAATAATTAAGGATTAAGTCGGTTTTTGAAACGATTCTAAAAAGTGATCCGTTATTAATATAAATATTTGGAACAATTGTATCTTTAATATAGTAAAATTATACGCTGGGTAAGATGCGCGGCGAGCGCCCCCTGTCGCACATTATCGGCACAAATGGAGTGTTAGCAGACGATCACGAACTGGACGCGACTTCAAAAACCGTACTTGTATAGAGAACTGTAAAAACAACAAGTTTATGTTGAACTTTTTGACAAAATAGATGACATCATGCATATTGAAAAAGGCGAGTACAGATTTCAAAGCGCGCCAACCTCAGGCACCCCCAGGACCGGTTTCAAGCCTATTAGTACAGCTTATATATCATACAGCTAGGGCCCTCGCCGTCGGCATGTTTAATATAAGAGCCTTTTCACACAAACCACTCTGCAGCGCTTCTTGGAAACGTACGTTACCATTGTACCAATCACTCTGCAACGCTTCTCGGTGGCCTTGCTGAGAAGCGCAGATTAACCTGAAGCAGACTGAAGTCGCTCGTGTGAACGCCAGCATTTGAACCAATGTATTGCTATCAGTGGCGCTTCTTTTTGACGCGCTTCTCGGCGGTAGTCAACCACTGAACGCCACAGAAGCGCTGCTCAATCGGTGGTCCGGCCTTGGTCACGCCCGTATGTATAGATCCATGTAAGGTGGAGTGGGGTAAGTGCACCCCAGTTTTTAGTCAGTTTGGCTTTCACCCATATATCTTTAATTTGTTTTATATTACTTTAACCTATATTTAAATCAACGAATATTTGAGTTAATACGCTTCAATT